ATTCGTTCAAAATTCGTGATTACAATAGACAGACAGACAGACATCGCTAAATCGTCTAAGATTTTTACACTGATCCAGGGTGAGATGAAAAAAACTGCAACCAACTTCAGACTGCTGTCATTTCTAGACAAGTGGACGGAAGAAAACAACAACATTAGCAGAAATGGTTCGAAAAGTAAAGAAGCGACTTGATCGAAACCCGCGCCGCAGTGGTCGAACAGTGGTCGAGCTGAAAATATCGCAATATTCCATTCGGCAAATATTGAAAAATGATCTCGGGGTAAAGCCATTGAAATTCCAAACTTACGCCGCAATAGAAAGAAAATAGACTCGAAAGAGCTAAAGAGCTGCTGAATTTGGTTTTCCCCGATGAGAAAAACATTCGTTGTACAGCAGTTCGTAAACAAACAAAATGATCGTGTTTACTTTCCAAAGAGGTCAGCTGAAAATGTGCACCTTCGGTTGACTACTCAAGCGGCTGCCATGGTGATGGTGTGGGCCGCCATAACAGCCGATGGTCGCTCTCCGCTCGTATTAAACCACCGTGGCATCAGAATTAATGCCGAATATTGTTATTTTGGCCACAGACTCAGCGCACGCCACCCAATAATGGTCCAGATACCAATCTCTTGGACTACTGAGTCTGGAGTATTTTGGAAAGCAAGGTTGGCACTAAAAATACCAAAGTGTCGATCACCTCAAGCAAGCACTTCGCCGGGGAATGGGCCAAAATACCGCAGAACAACATTCGGGCAGCGTTTGACAGGTTCATTTGGTGTTTGAAGGCCAATTCGTGCCAAAGGTGACCAATTCAAACAAATCTAAACTTATTCTTAAATTTTATGCTATTTCCGAATTTTTTTTTTTGATTTTATTTAAAAATTATGGCGTTTGACTTTGTTGCAGTTTTTTTATCTCAACCTGTATTCATGTATCATATCCAAACATCCTATTACATATTTGCAAATCTTTTTAATTATTCAAGTGTACACATTTTCGTTTACCATGAAAATCATTTAATCCTCTTGAGTCCCCAAATTGTATAATTATAATTAACTTCCGTGAGAGACAATAAACCCTGGCATTAATATAAATCGAATTACTTAATATGAGACATACATTTGATGTAGCGACAGATTGCACGAAAAGCTAAATTATAATGGATAAATTATTTCGAAAATTGAGTAATATTCCAAAAAGTGTATTTCGATGAATTTCTTATTATTCGGATGCAGTATAATTACTCCACTTAAAGAAATCAATAATTAATATTTTAATTTGTAGTTGTAAATAATTAAGCGCTTGACTGAATCTTGTGTGTGGATCATTCGGCTGAAGTGACACAACCGAAAATGTCTTTGAAAATCACCCACAACATTTAATGAGAATTCATAATTTGATGAATGACAAATTATTATTAATTACACTATACAATGACTGACAAACACTCACACATATGCATACTTATATACATATTATGGTCGTCGTGTAATTATTGTAATTTCCATTGAAATCTGATTACAGTATAAAGTGCCTAAACAATGGAAATTAACTATATTAAATTATATTGCTTTCTTACAAATTACAAATTTGATTTATTGTTCAATGCAATCGTCAATTAACATTGAAACCTTGAGAAATCAATAAGTTCTCGGAATTGTTGTGGAGTTCTCATAGTTTTGGGTGTTTTTCTTCAATCATATGGACAAGTGACAAAATTATTGACTTTTTATTATTCCTAAGTACTTAAGTTTATTGAGAAGATAGTCATGAGGCTGGGACAATATATTAATATTAGGACTTTTAGCTGCAAAATAGTACCAGGTAATTTGGAGTATATACAAACCCTCAAATAACTTAATGGAAAGCAGATCTCATGGAAGAAATAAGGAGATAAAGTCATACAATCACATGTTTAATTTTCTTTTTTTCAAAATTATTCATTTGACAGCATCTCATTGTCAAAATTTAGATCTATAAATCCATTGTATATACACAAATCAGAGATGGATGTCTGTATAGTAAAATTTGATAAGGTAAATTACGGAAATTGCAGAACTGGATATTCTTATCTGAAAAGACTTTAAGTTTTTAATTTTACCATGGCAGAGATTATGAAATGTTATTTTGAACCTTGTTCAGATCCAATCAAAAATATTAAAGATTTATGTCGTTTAATAAAATTTTATAAAAATAATCGCTGTCACGATAAAACAGAGGGTATGTTTGCCCAGTTCAAACATTCAATAACCTTTACTGAAATTAAAAACCATAAAATGCCTACTGAGAGCTCAGTAACCAAATTATAGTTAAACACGAAAAAGTTGTGGTGTTAACCTTCACAATGTTTAAATCCATTATATGGGTGCTATACTGAAACTGGGGCTCAGCCATTCGAAACTATAAAATACCCTATTGTATAGAAGTATATAGATTTTGTTGAAGGAAAGGCCTGAATACTTAAAAATATCTTAAATCCGGAATTATATTTCCTAATATTTTTGACATTACCAAAATGTGGACCTTTAAAGATTATTTTGTGTAATAAATAATCGAAATTAAAAATATGAAAAAAAGACAATTCCATGGAAAAATATGGTACAGTTGCACAATACCATTATATAGAGGCTACTCCAAAGTGAAGGTGTTTAATAGTTGACACACCTTTTGAGAGCTCAAAATAATAAATTACCACCAATTTCTTTGGAAAAGGTAAAATCTACAGAAAATCGGAATGTCTCGACACATATTGGCAAATAAAATAAATAGGAACCGATGGGGCTACATTTTTGAATTTTATCAAATTCAGACCAAAAGCTATCAAGTATCAGTCTGTTTTTTTTCCGACAAATGTATACCGTCAGACAAGATCTCTAACTGAATGTATGATTGAGCTATGGATAGTCAAAATAGAGTCACTGAGAGTTTCACAAGTAACAAAGGTTAAAAATATCAAACAGTTTGACCCTTCGTGGGAAGTTACAAGAAGAAGTGGTCCAACATATGCAATCATTACACCAGATCTCGTGTTTATGGAGGTATTGTGATGTGCTGAGTTTGAAGGGAATCTGATGCTCATTTCACGATTTATGAGCTAGTTATTAAAAATTTTTACCCGTTGGGGGAGCTACCAGATATATTCCATCGTCACATTAGATCTTGTGTTACTAAAAATATTCAAAAGTACGAGCTTTAAAGAGAATGGGATGCTTATTTCGTTTTTTATGAAAGATAAAATTATTCAAAATTTTGACCTCTTGTGAGGGAGGTACCAGGGCCAATATATTCCCTCTACACACCAGATGTTGTGTTGGTAGATATATTAAATGAGCGAAATTTGAAGGCATTTTATGACAGTTATAATTATTCAAAATTCTGACCTTTTGTGGCGGGATGTACTTGAAGAAGTTGGCCGACTTGGTCTATTTTCGCACTTAATCTAGCACTGATAAAAATGTCGGGGCTTTCAAATTTTGCATGATCCTCTCTTGTTAAATTAAATTATTTTCTGTGAAAATTTCGACATGAAGGCCTGGAACGATATTACCCATCTCCAAACTCGATAAGTTTGATGTACCAAGTTTGGACCAATTATGGTACTACTTTCGAGAGTTATCGTGCGCAACAGCCAGACAGACGCAGGAACATCCCTATATCGACTCCAAATGTCCTGAAACGGAGTCGGTTCAAACGGATCTAGGGTCTAAAACAGTTATTTCAATGAGGCTGGTTTTTGCCGCATAAAATCATATATACCCTCTGTAGCCATATAGCTAATGGTATAAAAATAAAAGTACCAAAAACTTAAAAAATATGTTCCTTCTAGATATAGGATAATTTGAGCTTCCATATTTGATGGTTATTTGGGTTAGATCCTTGGGATCAACCTTGATGAATCTTCAATCAAGTCTTCAAGCACTAAAAAGACATTCCCATGCAATCTTGGAGATATACAAATCAATTAATCATCTTTAAGATTTCTAATATTCCTTGGGGATACTCAAATGAATAAAATACCCTTTAAATTCCTACAAAAAAATATTCACAAAATACTTTCCCAAGCATCAAGTCCCAAATCAAATGTAGCCCAATTAAATTGTTATTATGAACGAGTGTTTTTACCTTCTGGCCTTTTTGTTAGCCTCACTTAACTTTTTCGTCTGTCAGCCATTATTGATTTAGGATAAATGTTCGCTCATTTCACTTTCACCAGGCAAAAAATAAAAAAATTACTAATAAAATCTTTCCAAGAAAAAGGAAAACTTGAGATAAGTACATAATATGCCTTGCAAAATATTAAATTGGGGTTTGAAAATGCATTAACAATATTTTTCATTCATGAGAAATCTGAAGAGCTGGCGTAAAACATTATTGAAAACATGAAACTTTCTTCGAAATTCCTGGAATAAGTTATCCATGAGGATTTTTGGCTTAAATAACGTTTACACTTTTCCTCTTCACTTGTTTGATTTTTACAAATCATTAAACATAACTTTAAATCGTTGAAACGTGTTTGAGCAGAAGAAGCAGAATGAAAAGCAGAAAAACAATTATCCCAGCCTTAATCAGTTTCGTTTAGATAATGAGGCTATAATGATAAAGAGCGTCAACAAATTTTGTATATGTATTTATTTGCAAATATATCAAATGTATTATTTGCATAGCATACTTTTGGGGTTTACCAAATAAATACGCACACACACACAGAGACAAACAAACGCATTTGGCATATAAATCTAAAAGATGATAAATAGTCCTAAAAGAAATATTTGTGTGGGTGTATTTACTTTTAATTATTAACATTTCCCCATGGCATATGAACGAACGTCGTTTAGTCGAATAACTTTTATAATTTTCATTTATAATTTATATTTCATTTGTGATTAGTAAGGCGCATAATTCTGTGAGTGTGTGTTTAGTGAATGTATAAGTGTGTGTGTGTGTGTGTCGGAAACCAAGACATTTTGTGCACCATCAGATGAAAGAAAATGTTAACCTACTTTTGCTTGACTCTGCTAAATTTCCTTATGAACATTTCTGGCATCCTCGTCATATTCCATGCACACTACCACGTAACAAGCAACGTTAGGTTTGCCTCTTATAGTTTTTTTTTTCACTTCTGCTATCACATCTACCACCGGATGATGACTTTTTTTTTCTTTTCTTTCTTTGCTCCTTGTGACGGCCGAGGATACAATTTGTTACTGGAGATTTTTTACAGGTATATACTTAGGCAGATTTTTAGAAATATTTTTTTCTTAACATACTTTAAGGAGGTCATATTGATTTATGTGTATAATTTTGTTTTACGGGATTTCACATGGCAATTTATTTCATTGGTGTATCCTTTTCGAAATGATTCAAAGAATCCCGATGATGGCATTTTTTATTTAATTTTAATTCAAATATTTTCCAATATTTTTTTTTTTTTGACTTTTCAATGGAACACTTTTTGATATAAATAAAAAATAATTTCCTTTTCAAAATTTATATTTTTACACAATTATAATTTTTCAAAATTTTTGTTGTCGTTGTTGTTTACACGATCTCATTGCGAAATTGAATTAGTATTGCCATTTGCTGGCATTAGCAATATTTCCTTCCAAACACTCACAAGACACAACATTTTGTTTAACCGCTCAAACAAAACTAGCTGGTGCTTCGTTAGCAAATAACGTCCGTGTACTGAATTTGCCTCACGAAAATTGTCGCAGTTTTGTATACGACACCTATACAATTCCACTCGATGTTTGTTACACTTCAGTGAGCCTCCACACACCACAACGAAATCACAAACATGCTTCGTGTGTTTCAGCATAGATGAGAGGCTGGTTTTTTAGTACACAAATGGACGACACTCTCAGAAGGCATAAATTCCTTTACACTCTCTCTTATTTCACTCTTTGAGAGAGTGTGCCACACGTTGTGATTTCATTCAATAGTAAAAATGTTGTCGTAGTCCCAGTCACAGTTCTCAGTGTCGATTTATGTTAACATAACAGCTACGCTTATAACGGTCTAATAACGCCTGCCACACACAGAGGAGAAGAGCAAGAGATGTACAGCCGAGAAGCCGGCTAAAAGTAAACTTATGCTCTCTTTGTATGAAGCACGTGAGTTTATTGCCATTAGGGCGCATGTACTTTTAGTACTTTTTTAATTTGAGCGCACTTTTTTTTTACAGAAATTGTTTTTTATTCGCAACTGGCAATGCTGTTGTTGAGTTCAACATCTTTTTCTAATTTTGTTTTTATAAAGAAATCTGAATTCGCGACCTTTACGAATGTTGAGCTGTGAATGTTAGTATGATTGATAAGATTGAAATTGAAACAAAGACAGAATACAACTAATTAAAGTTAAATGTCAGAAAACATAAACCGCGAATTGAAATTTTATTTTGACATTGAGTTGGGAGGACAACCCCTTCTAATTGATATATTTTGTACGTTAAAATTAAAAATAAAATAAAAAGGACGATGAATCTCAAAGAGGACACAAACAACATAAGTGTTAGCTATCGAATTGCAATAAGTTTTACATTTTTTTTTTTTTTTTTAATTTTATTGAATGAAAGCAAAAAATGTCGGAAATATCATCAAATTTTAGAATAAGTTTAAATTTGTTCTAACTGGTCACCTTTGGCACGAATTATGGCCTTCAAACAGCCAATGAAACCGTCACACGCTGCCCGAATGTTGCTCTGCGGTATTTTGGTCCATTCCCGGCGAAGCGCTTGCTTGAGGTGATCGACACTTTTGTATTTTTTAGTGCCAACCTTGCCTTCCTAAATACTCCATACACAAAAGTCCAACGGCTTGGTATCCGGAGATTTTTTTGGATGAAGCGTAGAACCTCATTTTGTAACCATTCTTGGGTGGCGCGTGCTGAGTGCGATGATGCCGAGTCCTGTTGGAATGTCCAATGTCTGCGGCCAAAATGATTGCGTGCCCAGGGCTTTAATACACCCTTCTGAATATTTTTGCGATAAAATTTGGCATTTATTCTGATGCCACGGTCGATTTATACGAGCGGAGAGCGACCATCGGTTGTTATGGCGGCCCACACCAACGCTTAAGTTCTTGTGGCCAACCGAAGGTGCACATTTTCAGCTGGCCTCTTTGGCAGGTAAACACGATCATTTTGTTTGTTTACAAACTGCTGGACAACGAAAGTTTTCTTATCGGAAAAAACCAAATTCGGCAGTTCACCACTTTCGTAGCAACTCTTCAGCTCTTTTAAGTCTATTTTCTTTCTGTTGCAGTGTAAGTTGTAGCACTTTTTGGAATTTCAATGGCTTTACCCCGACCTCATTTTTCAATTTTTGCCGAATGGAATATTGCGATATGTTCAACTCACGTACCATTTTTGGGCCACTGCGACGCGGGTTTCGATCAAGTCGCTTCTTTACTTTTCGAACTATTTTTACTAATGTTGCTGTTTTCTTCCGTCCATTTCCTTGACGTCCGGTAACGAGCGATTGTACGAGAAACAAAAGATTTATTCATATTTGAATGCTGAGGTGCTCTAACGATAGCCACATGTCTTTTTCGAGGCAAATATAAAGAAATCACACTATAACGCTTAAATACCATCACGAATAACTTTTTTCTGGAAAATTCTCGCCAAAATTGTTTTTTACGCTTGAAAATAATATAATGAGCTGTCACTGCAATAGTTTTAACAGCTGTCGGACGAGTGACAGCAGTCTGAAATAGGTTTTTTCTTCTCATCTTTTATAGGTCTCTGTTTTCTTATAGCTCCCATTTAATTTTTACGATTTTTAAGTTTTTTTTCGGATATTCAGCCGTATATTCCCAAGGAATGGCATAAGCATTAAAAAGGTGAGGAAACTTATGAGGATTTTTTTTTCTGGTTTTGAAAATGGATTGTAGTTTCGGCTGTATGGTAAGTAGCGCCGTCCTATTGAAACCTGTTGAGCTCCAAATGCTAGAATTTCGCTTATTAACAGACAGAGCTGGCGCTGCTTGTCTTCTTACAAAATCTCAATAAAAGCGCCTCTTAATTCAACTCGAATTTATTGCTATTTGTTTACATAGCAAAATGAAATTTATTCTTTTAAATAATTATTTTAAACTGATAACTTGCCAAATGAACATTTAAACATCATACAGATGATATGTACATCTCAAGACGAGACAAAATGCTCGAAGGACTCCAGTTATTAACATCGAAGAATGATTTTTTTATTTTTTATGTGACGTTAATGATTATATTACATATTTTGACTATATATCTTACATATCTCATCTCTATGTAAAATATTTGTAGAAATACTAGGATATACAAATCGGCTGTTCTTCCCGTATAAATGTTGACTTTTTGTGGGCCGATCTAGATATGCATAGTAAAAATATAGCAATTTGTATTATTTGTTTCTAATGAGCTACAAATTCTGTTTTTTTCATGGAAAAAGTTCACTGTGGGTGTGAAAATTAAATTTTCCATATAGCCCAAAGTATGTTGGTACAAAAATATTCAAATATCAACTACACTTATAAGAGGTTTTCCAAACTAGAATTCCATAAATACTCTTCTGTATTGCCTTCTCCCTTGGATTTCGTTACATCCACATCCATTGTTTGTATGCCATTTTACAACGCATACGAGAAAGAAAACATATCTCATTGGATACCATACAAAAATATAGTCATAAAAATCGAACAAAATAAAACAAAACTTGCAATCATGAAGAACGATGTATTGTCCCTGTAATAAATGTCTTAATTTTAAGTTGTCTTCCTTTCTAACTGGTTTCGAATTCCCTCGTCTTGGGAGATTTTAATTCCTCATCCTCCTCATCATCGGTGTAATATTCTCTCCTTTGTCATCGCTGTCGTCAACGTCATTTCACCATTGATGATTTCAGATTTTACTCTAGTCTTTCTCCCTTTTCATTTTCATTTTTCTTTTTCATTTATTGGTGGTTATGTGTGTGCGCGTGTGTTTGCGTTCGAAATATGTAGTTGACAACATTGATTTCATTGTCTTCATGTCTAACGATTTCCAATTAATGATTTTTTACAGATCAATTTTTTATGTTCTTCACATGTGAAAGTCATTCCATTGTCGGCAGACCCAGTGACTGACATGAATGAATAAAAGTCGATGCGTATAAGTTGCAGTGTGTAAGTGCGAGTTTGTGTGTGACTTAAGCTCCCATACACTGGCCTTCTGAATGGAATTCGAAGAAACGCTTTTGGGAAATCCTTATATTTTGTGTTCTTTTCTCCTTTCGTTATGATTTCAATTTCTCTTTGATTAACTCTGAGTTGTGTGAAAGCTGATTTCATCACTCGTTCATAAGGGAATAATAAAAAAATCGCAATAATAGAAATTACAATGTAGCTGACAAAATTAGCAACGATTGAATAAGAAATACGTATGCTTTGTTGGGTCTCTCTTATTGGGTATCTTTTTCGAACAAATTGGGAATTAAATATTTAATAAGCTAGGGAGTAATTATAACTCTGACTAATTGAAGTAGCATTATTTTCCGCAAATTCGTGGCCTCAGCATTTGGTTTTTATGTATGTCTTCTCTTTATGTGGGAGGTACCGGAAAGAATGGAACTATATATCCCGACTTGACGTAAGATGTAATGTTGCAATGGACGATGATTGAGAAAATGGTAAAAATAATATGATATTTTCCCATCTGATGTCTTTTAAAAATACTTCTCAAATGGAGTATCCGATTTGATCATAATAAATTAATCAAACTTAGATTGAGTTCGGCGATGGATATATCGGTCCATTTTTCCTAGTACCTCCACCACAAAGATAAAAATTTTCAAAAAACATATTTTATTGCACAGAAAGAGAAAGGATAATCCGATTTTGCTCCAACTTTGCAAATTCTAGTATTTGCTTCAGTCAGGTGCGAAAATGGGCATTATCGGCCAACTCCATCAAGTACCTCCACCACAAATGGTCAACATTTTGAATTATTACAACTCTGATGTAAGAGCTCGATTGTCTTTCAGTTACACATATAAAATTATATTTATTAACCCATGGTCTGGTTTGAAGATGGAATCCATCTTCTTCCGGTATCACCCCCACAAAGGGTCAACATCTATACAATGCGAAATTAGCATTCAATCTCAATATTTCTATCAACACAAGATATGATATAAAGGTGGTAGAGATCGGACCATTCCTTTTGGTACCTCCTCTACAAAGGGTCAAAGTTTTAAATAGCCAAAACGACAATAAAATCCGAAATAAGTATCTGGGTTTCTCCAAATTACAAATATCACAATATCTTATTTTTAAAATGGGATATTATATCAGTCCACTCCTTCTGGTACCTCCTCCACAAAGGGTCAAAATTTTGAATATCCAAATAGTCCATAAAAAATTAACATCCGATTCCATTCAGACTTGGTACATCTCAATATTTCCGTTAACACAAGATCTGTTATAAAGATGGTTCAAATCGGACCTTTTATATGTTTGAAATTTGAAGAGGGTTGGATGCTTATTTTGCTTTCTCTAAACTTGTCCACATAGGGTTCAAAATTTGAAAAAAGTTTAAAAAAAGCAAAATAAGCATCCAACCCTCTTCAAATTTCACACTTACAAATATTTTTGCTAGCACACGACCTGTCGTAAAAATATTATATATCTGCGAACAAT